TGGGATTTTAATATAAGTGCACAATAAAAGTTGTGTCGGAAATACTAACAAAATTGTTCGTAAAATCTGACCGAAATTCTCGCAGTTATACCACATTGTGCGAGCTGCTTTGCAAGGGAGGGATTTTGTCCAAGGAATGGCCTTCCAGAAATTTCCGAAGGATATTGTTTAACAAAAAAAGAAAAAAAAAAAACGCTGTATGCATGGACAATAACCAAAATAGCCATTGTCGATCCTTTAAAAAGCAAAACAACAACCACTATCACCACCACCACCACCATCAACACCACAACAAAAATAACAAAAGGTAATAACTTGGACAACCCGAAAGTTAAGAAGCTTTAGGGGGACCTTTCTCTTTGAGCTTATTAAATAGTACAGCACAGTGCGTACTATCTACGTTGTACAGACTTGAATCACTTTCCACTCTAACCCTCGGGACACAGATACTAATTAAATCGCTGGGAATGTAGATCGCCGATGATAGCCAGAACGATATAATTTTACGATAGTTTGGAATTGCACATGCATGTTAAGTGAGATAACGATCGATAAATGAGTTTCACAAACGTCACCAACTGGATCGGTGATGCAAACAAACGCTCAGTGACAGAGAATAAATAAATGAATCTCATTCGAAACCCGTAGCGATTTACCTATTGTAACAAGTTGTTGTAACCGATTTATTTTACTTTATCATATTTTATTTATTCTTTTTCTTTTGCCCCTTACCGATTATGTAAGAAAGAGATTGAGTTAGGTTGTGTACGTAAAGTCAAATTAAAATTGTTCGACGTAAATTTCAATGACAAACAATTGGATTAAAGTTATGGTTGACAATTAGTTTAAAAATCATGCAGATTGGTCGGCTGATTGTTTTCTACAAACCTGATTGGTCTCTAAAAAAAGACAGACAATTTATCACCTCTGACTGACTGATCTACTAATTGTCGCAATTTTTCATCTTAGATGTCTCTTGTTTGTCTGATAACCTAAGGACACATTAATAAAGATTGCTGTCCAAAATATATATTTCGCGCCCCCGATGCTTTGTGATCTAATGCATCACAAATAGATCAACAATGTTTTGACCGGCTGCGGGAGATGAGACTTAGCCGGTTGGACAGAAACGAAAATTATTCATCGCCATCGCGGAAATTTTGCCATCGTTTAAGTAAACAGAGTGATAGTAAATTTATTAGTTTATCACAATACCTACTCCTGATACGAGAATTTTGTCGATTTGACGCCGGAATAGATGTCTTGCTACTTATACCAACGCAACACCTGCAAATCTAATTGCGGAGAAAAGATTGCTTTTAGCCGAAATTTGAAGAGCTTACGCACTCTACACTTCTTTCAAATAGCGCATTTACGAGAAGGTTTTGTGTGTGTGTGTGTGTGTGCTTGTCCTGATTCAAAGCGACCATACAATAGGTTTTTAGGTTGTGCTAATGGAAGCGTACCGCTGAGCTGAAAAGAACACCTGAAGGCGCTTAGACAACAGAGATGCTGCGATCAAAAACATCAACCACCCGTCGCCAATAATTTTCATTTGCCAAGTTCAAGTTTTATCTGTAACCAAGGTATACCAAAAAAAAATGATACATACGTTATAAAGGGTCAAAGAAAACGCCAAACGTTCATGACCATAAAAAATTCCCCATTTTTTTTTTGTACCCACAATCCCCCGCTGTTAGCGTTAATAAAGAAATATTTAAAGAATACGGTTGCCGCGGTTTTGTTAGTTCGATCAACGTTACCGCTTGAGTCAACTAACACAGCACGGTAGACTAGGCTGTAGCTGTTGCAGTAATGTTTGTGCTAACTTTGGTTGAAGGATTGAATGCTGCCGTTTTCTTCTAGGTCACCTCTCAATGCTGAATCGAAGTATTCGACTTGAGGAGGGAAGTTCGCACGATTCCATGCTAATACGGTTTGTGTTTGTTTTTCTCATTTACACTCCTTCGTAGTGGCGTAGACACTGAATCAAGTTCGAAAAAAAAAAAAAAAGAAAGAAAGCAATATATTGTTCAGTTACTATCTTAGTGTTGGCACGGCTGGTGAGAAAATCGAGGACGAAAAACAAAACCGAAAAACAATGAGCTAAACGAACATGTGTGTACAGTCTGGGGGACAAAAAATACGAATGGAAGCTTATCGCTGTAGGTTCCGGTTCGGTGAAATGCGACGAACTCAAAATATTGTTCAAACAATTGTTGTTTATGCAAAATGTTTGAAAGCGTCTCAAAATAACACTCATTTGTTCTTGTGAATACCGCTAATCTATATTTCACACAAATTTGTTTTTCGTCTCCTGTTTTGAATTTAGTCAGCTACTCCCAAGGAGACTTTGCTACTGTTAGTTTCAAAATTAGAGCATAAATTTAGCCAATAGAGGTGCATATTTAAAAGTTATATTGTCGAAGATAAGCTTATTACCGAGTTTCAGCTATCAAATTCAAGATCATTTCGTCTTTGCTTTTTGATTCTGTACTTGACTGTAACCATTTGTATGCTTATCTCAGCGTTTTCAGGCTCAAATTAAAACAAGACGAATGACAACTCCAAAATGACGCTGGTTAAGCTTCACAGCTGGGGACTTTATTGTTGCGATAGCAAACAGTATAACCTGATATTAGTATCGAAAGGGTTTTATTTCTAACGTTAACTGCAAGATTTATTTTTTTTTTGGCACTTTTTTTTAAATTGCTAGACATTTTTCATGATTTTACCAATAAACGGTGGCATCCAGTAAACCAAAATCACATAATTTGCTCCACCTCATAAATCATGCATTGTTTATGCTGTTCGTAACAACTAGTTTGCGATTTACGAATTAATCCACGGTAAAATTTGCATATATCTTTTTTTTGTGTTAAAAATCGATTAAGGCCGAAAAACTGAAACGATGAACCTTTGAAGCGTTTGCGTCATAAGGACGCGACGTTTGTTATAATGAAGCCAAACTATCACGGAACTCGACTGAACTCTTATTATTAGCCGATAAAAATTAAACTCTCATTATACATTTATTGCATGCGACCTTAACACTGTGCATTGGTTAGAAAAATATCAAAATGGTTCAAAACATAAAGGCCTGATCGGTAGAGCTGGAGGCAAATGTTTATCGCGGCGAGCGCAATTGATCTTGTAATCAATTGCTTTCTCCGAAAATTGTATTTCAGGAATATCTGGCTTATTTGCTGATGACAGAAACATGTCAAGACACAGTAAAAGAAATACAAATAAAATTCTATGTATGAGTGGCATTATCTATTTTATAAAAAGCAAAAAGAAAACAAATGAAGATATTCGTATTTTATGACTGAACTATAACGACTACTGGAAAGAAATCTTTTCAAATGCAAATTAATGACTTTTCTAGAAGTTGGTCTGGATATTCTGTGGCTTGAGCATTCATTGTCTGCTGCCCGTTACTTCCAGATTAATCCGAATACCTCACATTGAGAAACAAGCAGATAAATAATAAGCAAGCGGAAACTAGAGCAAGCGAGAAACGCATATCAGAGCGTTAACGCCAAATAATCAAAGAAAACACAAGCAAAGTATGTATGGTTATATACGTGTACAGTTGTCCTTGCGACTAATTCCGTGAGCGACGTCCGGCCCTAGTTACCACCATTATTTCATCATAACTCTAGTGAAACACCGTTGGAATTGTCACTCGAACTCTGTATTAAAACAAATCGAAACAAAACATGCAAAACAAAAACAAGCTCTCGTAAGCGACCACAACTGCTTTGGGGTTAGGGTTTTCCTTTGTTTTAGACTCTCGCAAGCGATCACTGAAAGCGGATCCTGATTCTGATTAGTAATTGCCACTTGATCACGTTCACCGTGGCACAAAATTGCTTCACAGCGTTGATTGAAGAGTCGTTTAACGTTAAGATGATGATCGAGTGTTGCGCCGACCGAGACTGAGATAGGAAGAGACCCCGCTGCTTCTGTTGTTTCAGATGAACGATTAGCTCAAGGTCCCGAGGTGGTCGTTATGAAGCTTCGACTACATTCAGAAACAAAGCAAAAACCAAGTCGGGATTCGCTCTTCTTTTGATTTAATGTTTTCCTCTCCTTTTGCGTATCCACCGCAATGTAATGACCAGCTAATCACAGAGAAACAGCTAACTTTTTCACTTGGCTTCCAACGTTAGATATCCATTTAACGCAAACGAAACAAAACAAAACAAAAAAACCATCGGTCGCAACAGCCCAGACTTAAATTCATTTTAATAAAACAAAACCCTAGACAGTCTGAATAAAACCACGTTTGCCTTCAACTCAGAGCATTTCACGACAAATTTTGTCACCATTTCAAATTTCCGCAACAGGAGATGAGGTTAATTGGCGTTAAAGGCGCCATCCTGGGCAAGTTATTCTGCGCTGGAAAGGCGGTTTTAGAAACCCCGGCTATTGGTCAAAAATACTTCAAGTAGAAGTTATTGTTCCTTGCTTCGATAGACAAAAGAAACTTCGAATTCTAACAAAAAAAAAAAAAATCCAGCAGCTTGACAGGACTGTTTCAAATGCGAAATATATAAATTCATGAAGAGCTTACGGAAACGGAAGACTTTAATCAAATGTAAAATACATTAATCACCGTGTATCATGCTTTCTTTATAATTTTTTTTTTTCGAATTAAGTGGCATTTTTATCAATAAACCAGAAATAGAAATACATCATAACATCTAGACGACCTAACTACCCAAAGCTTGGCCACATATTCATCAGATGTAAGTGAACAATATCCTTATTGTTATTTTATTCTGTGGAACTGCAGCGGCCATTTCGACCATTTCCTTAAGATCTGCACTCATTATATATATTTTATAAGAATATTGAGACTGAAATTTGCGAAATTTTTAAGATTTTTTCAAGAATAAACCAGAGGCTGAGATTTTGTAAAGAATACAATTTTTCGTGTTGAAAATTTGTAAGTACATTATAATTATATGTTTTTAACTAAACCATATAAAATTCAGTAACGGTAAAACCCTTTAGCCCTTTGCTCGATGCTAATAACATTTCTGCAAGAAGTCATGTGTATCAAATTAGGCTTTGTTGCCGGCAGTCCGGCTCCAAAATTACTTCAAAGTTACCAAAGTCGAACCGAAATGTCATACGCTAAGAACATTCACAATAATACTTTCAGCCAAAATCGGCAGAAAAATAAGAATAATCAGCCTGGGACGGAAAAATGATATTCTTATTATAAAGTAGTATCAAGGAAGAGTTATGAACGTACATACGGTGGTTCTAACTTTTAAGATTGCGGTGTCGTCAGTCGCAATCTTTGAAAGCTGATGAGAATTATTCTCGTACATTCTGGCTATTGATTGTCATAGTGTAAATGGTGTCTGGCGCTTGGAGAAGAGAAGTTTATATACAACCCTGTCTTGTGAACTGATTCATCTTCTCTTGTTAAGGAAAAGGTAATTGCTCCGATCCGACCAACGCGTCGTGGATCAGTCGCCACATGCAATAGATTAGTTTTCTTAGCTATTCCCTAGAGCTTTTTTTAGGAGAGAAAGTTTACTTAGCATTGGATTTTTCATGTTTTATTCCAGGATAAAAGAGTAGATTGCAATCCTGGACAATGGTCAACAACACGTCAGGACCTGGCAATTCCACGTCAAACCAAACAGACGACAAAGTTATCATGTGGTGTGTAGCATACGCAATCGTCACAGTAGCCATCGTCTTCAATAATGTGGCAGCAATATTAGCCTTCACTAAATCTCCTCTTTTGAGGAAATTTGGAAATTATTTCCTTGTAAATCTGGCGGTAGCGGACCTGATGGTCGGGGCTATTGCCTTACCGATGTATATTCATTTGATTTATATATCACCTTATACAGGTTCTTCAGGAACCAAAGTTAAACCTTTTCAGACAGTTCACATTGCTTTTGATGTCTTCTCCGGGATGGCGTCTGTGTTCACACTAACTGTTATTTCTCTAGAGAGAGTATATGCTATTTTTTGCCCTTTGCGATATCGCAGACTTTCCAGAGGAACTTACTTCGTTGTTTTGGCTAAGGTGTGGATTCTTGCCGGTGCTCTGACGGGGACTAGGCTTTTAGATTCATTCGAAATTCTCCATCCCAAGATATTTGCGTTTGCCTTGGCTCTTCTGTCTTTCACTTCTCTCATGGTGATGATCGCGAGTTACGTCGCGTTGTGGCTGAAAATCAAAATCTGGAGCAGAAATCAACACCGGGCTGCTGGAGAAAAAGAACGCAATTTAGCCGTGGCCATTGCTATCATAACTGCTGTTTTCTTGACGACCTGGACTCCGTTTCATATTATGAACATCTTGGTGAACTTCAAGACGTCATTGCTTGACGGCATTCCTTATGAAGTCATCTTGTTGGCAAAGTTCTTACATTACGGCAACTCGATTGTTAATCCAGTGATTTACTGCTATAAAATTTCTGAATTTCGGAGAGCTCTGAAGAACTTGATCGCAAGAAAGAAAAAAAGTAGAGAAACAAAAGTTTAATTGCTTCCAAACTATTGGATGATTAGAAAGGTGTAAAATATATTCATTTAGATGAAAGTGTAAGTTCATAATTATTTTTGGCTATAAGGAAGTGCAAGAGACTAATGTGTCTTGGGAAGCGACATTTCCCTTAACTGTACATATGTTTCCACACGTTTTGTGGTATTATCTCTCCTACAAAGATCATATTAAACAATTGTTATTTGCAATCCGTCTCAATCTTCCTTACGTTGTGTAACTACCTGCATAAATTACTGTACTTAGTCAAAGGAGGGGCGGTGGCCTAACGCTTAGTGCGCAGCTAGACACCGGATAGAGCGGTCTGGTTTTACGGCCATTGCGTTGTGTTCTTAGGCAAGACTGACACTTTCAGCAGTTTTCTCTCCACTGTAACTGGTACACGTATCGGCAGATTTAATCCCAGGATTAACGTTGCGATGGACCAGTATCCCATCCAGGAGAGAGTTATTACACTTCATCACTTCATGATACAGAAATCGGATTTTAGTCATGCAGCTGGGGTTAAGAGGCTTTGGGTGTAAACCGGGGTGCGGAATTAATTACTTTATCAATCTTTGCTATTACCTTACTCTCTTTAAAAGGAGCCGTGTACAGATTCGTGCTAGGTGAAGCACAGAAGTGAAGTATGCCCTGGATCACAGGATAAGAACGGCAACATCGAAATTACCCGGCTCTTTAGAAATAAAACTAAAAGATTAAAAGGGAAAATTACTTCCCGCTTACAGGAGGATAACTGTCCAGTTTTTAAGTTCTGTTTAAGTAAGTGCTACTTAAATGGTACACTTGATAAGTCTGCGACAAGTAGTGTATTGACGGGTGTTCTACAAAACTTATATAGACGCGCTATCAGTGTCCACATCAAAGGAGCTCAGTTATTTTGGCTGTATACAGAGTTACCTTTGAATTGATGGAACCTGAAAATAGTAGTTTATTGAGATGAGCAAACACCAAAGAGATAACAATAAACCATAAAGAAACAAGGATGGTCAAGGTTAAAAATCCGCTCAGCACAAGCAATAAACCTGCTGTATGGTGTGAAATGACTTTAGTTGTGAGGAGAATCTTAAAATCCTCTCCCGTACTCAACTGACCAGAACAGGTACGTGCACAATCAGGACAAAGAAAACGGCAACTGAATGTCTAATAATAAAGGAAGAACTTATGCTTATGTGGCTTGTGGTGTTACTAGGCATATAAGTTGCACTTTATTTCCATGGACGTGCGCTGAGAGAGCTAGGGAACTCAATTTTAACGGGCAGAACGCGATTCTTAGCTCATGCATCACTTTGCAAATAAGCAGTATGCCTTTTAGCAAAGTAAAGCTGACGCGCAGAGAAATTTAATTTTGTTCCATGGGGTACCAGGCACAAGTTGAGCTTTTTAAACAACAGCGCTAGCACTACAATTGTCAGACTGAAAACAAAGGATCAACCAATAAATATCCGCTGTTTACAGCCAATAACCTGATAACAAGGAAAGTTTTGCATCTCTGCTTTAGAATAAACAACACATGCAGGTAATGATTGAGCAAATAATAAACGATATTTCCTTGCTAAGCCCTATTATTTCACCCACCACCGCATTTCAATCTGGGGCAAAAAAATTATGCGACAGTTGAAACGACAAAGGACAATACAACGGAGACCTGAACACAGGCCTCCTTCGTCTTACTTGATCATTTTACTTTTACGTAAAATAATGCATGAAGTTTGCCACCAAAACAAAGACATCCATAAGCAACTGTGTTATTACCAGGTAATAACCTCAAAAAAGAAAAAAAGACTTCCGTTTTTAAATTAATTTTCCTTTAACTAATTGGAGTTATGTAAGCAATTCGTTAATGAAAAATACGCACCGTCAAGGCGTCAGTGTATAAACTGATTGTTTTCAGATGTGTAACAAACGTGTTATTAGACTGTGACAGTAGAATGACGGTCCTAAAAATCGCTTACAAAATCTCGAAAATTTTATTTGACATATTGAAAATGAAAAAAATAAATTCCTTATTATACGCAAGAAAAAATGAGACAAAATGATATGCTAAGTAAAGAACGCCTATGGCTTGAACCCAGGCTAAAATTATAAAGATGCAAAGACTATAGTCTTCTGCTGATCTGAAAGCTTATGTTTAGTCTATCTATGCTAATTAATAAGCTAATGGGCGGCACTTTTATACATATCATAATGAACTTGTGAACACAAATTCAGCAATACGAACATTAGCAGTGCAAAATCATTTGCCAGTTCTGTGACTTCAATCAACGAATTGCCAGCATCAAAAATCGAACTGTAACTGCTCTTCGTCAGTTGTTCGTCAAAACTGAACACAAGAAGTACACTCGAAGTTACATCATCTTGTAGGTCTTGTACAAGCTCAAAGGTTAGCCATGCACATCGACAGCGGGACGCCCAATATCACTTTTTAACTGGATTCAATAGGCGTTGTCAGCCGTTCCATTGGTGTCAAAATAGTCTCGACGTTGACAGCTAGGTAACTGAGCGCTGAAGGGATAATAGTGTTTTTATTTGTGTCATTTATCTGACTAATATCTCCCGATCACATGCTGAGTTGTACATTATTGTATACATTGAGCACACTGAGTGATGACTTAAGCCAACATATAAACTCGCTCGTTCTTGTCTGATTTATCTGTTTACTCAACTGACGGAAGAACCAAGACAGAGAAGAAGAACGAAACATTTCGTGGAGGAATGTAAGCAGTTCCTATCCAAGAATCGACTAGTCTTTGGGTATATGTAGGTAAGTACTCTAAAACTCAGTCACTTGTTGTGATGTGCTGTACAGCTGTATAGAGTTAAATCCGCATGGTTGTGTATGTCATAATTCATTTACGTATATAGGGGAGTAGTCGTGTCTTTCCTGAAGATTTATTCCCCGGGAGAGCTGCTATGCTTTTTTACAACCCACACCTTACCTTTCGTGTCTAATACTCTATGCCTAGTCTTGAGGCGTGTAAGAAATCACACTGAACCTAAACCATAGATGGTTTACTACCATCTGGATCTCCGTTGATCTACGGCGAAGGAATGAACAAGGTAATTCTGACAAAAAAGATTAAATTTCGTGGTACGTATTCTAGTGCGGTAGACTGCTGTATGCACGGAATCATTTAAGCAACCCTGAGGTGTCGTGAAAAAAAAAATGTACTCTCTGACACTAACATGCACAGTTTCAAACAGTGTATTGTTAAGTTTGAAACACATGTTCAATCACAAGATTTTCTTTTGAGTTAATTTAATCTTAAATGCATATTCCTAACCTGTGGGGCCTCAACATTCCTTGTTGGTGACTAATGAGTGTGATGTAATTTACTTAGTGGAAAAAGATAGAGGGCCGATCAGCGCTAAAATTGTTTTTGTTATCACCGTCGCCCAGCTAACACAAATGGTTTGCCGGCCAGGACAAATTCCATTCACAAAATAATTTCAAGCGGTACCAGGAACAATATTAGTCCCGGGTAAAAACAAGAAAAAGATCGACAGGGTAAACAGAGTTGTGTTGAACGTGTCAATCATAAGCCATAAAACTATTAGTCTTTCTTAATTCCATTAGCTTTTGTTGACATACATGAGCAAAAATGGAGATACCGAGCCACAATCAAAAATTTTCACAGATATTTGTCCGAGAGAATTTCAGTTTGTTTTGATTGCTAGTTCAAATCAAACCATTCCTCCGTTACTCCAGCAAGCGATATAATTGACGATATCTGCCTACATAATGAACAATAGAATAAGTCAAGTCGAGTCAATCGACTTTGGTAATGGCAACATGCACACTGTTTTACCTTGGTCTAACGACAAACTAAATATAGAAACTGAAAATCTACAAGCAAGCAAAGATGGGGACAAGAATCCAGCTATAATTTGGTAAATGTTTACCACGGAATGAATGAGACAGCATCACCGAAAGCTGGGGAAGGAGAGGAAAAAAACAGACGTTCATATCAGGAATAGGAAGGGAGGGTTCTGTTCAGGAAGGCTTCGACTAAAGTGCTGACCCTGTACATTCAAAAGACTGGTGTTTATTTCTCTCGCTTGAAATATCCGAAATAAATGCTTTTGTTCAGCATTGGCTTCACCTTTTGCTCTGAATGTAAGGTAGACGCTAGCGCTCACAGGTTGAAACACAGATCTTTCTCCTGCGTACCGAGATAGGATTTAGCAACATGCAGCGAGAAGTACATGCAAACGCTTACACAAACTGATGTAATGCACGCGAAGTACATTCTAGTCCAAATTTTTCTCATGTCTGAAATAAAAAAATAAAAAAACAGCAACAACAACAACAACAACAGGGCCTCAAAACGTGCCCTCAGTACGTTAATTAATTCCTTTTTGAAATCATTATCAATGGCAAAGACTGTCCATCAAGCAAGACAAGTACTTCGATGATCAGTTACTTCACTGAAAGTCAACCCTTTGGGGATTAACGGATAAAATTTATGGATAAAATTGAAATTTGATCACATAATTCAATGGTGATTTCTTTTTGAATCTTATTAACCTGGGCATTCACACGATACAACATGCGGCAAGTGCTATTTCGGTTGTTTTTGGCTGTTATGCCGTTTAGAGAAAGGAATAATTTTATACGGTTTGGCTAAACACAAAATTGTGTGGTATTTACATATTTTCAACACACAATGTTATGTTCTGTTTAAAATCTTAGTCTCGAGGTTATTCTTAATTAACGTATTCTAAAGATTTTGCAAATTTCAGGCTCGATACTCATAAAATATATTCTTAGAAAAAAAAAATAGTGTATTTCCAAATATAGACATTACCAAGGTGTAAACTTGACCTGTAGAATATGCCGCATTTTTTTTTTCTTTTTGTTAACCGTTCGGGTGAAGCGATCATAAGGTAACCTTAGAAGCTAGCTCACCACAAATTCGACACCCACAGTGAGCACTGTGTGCTCTATAGACTGTAATTGTTTTTGCACCAGTATGTTGATTTACTGCAATTCCACCATAGCTAGATGCTGTGAGATATTCTCAACTAAAACTCGTGGTATTCAATTATGTATTATTTATGTGCCTTGCTTGAAAAACTGAGGTAGGAGAATATTTGGCCTTACCGTTCTTTCGTTAGGTTCTTCCAATCCAAATTTCTATCTCTTTATTTGCTAAGCTGTTCCCGTGTAAGGTGGCGAGCCATTTGCTGTTCTTATCCTGCGTTAAGAATCCAATGTTCCCTTTAAAACTGCGACGCACTGCAGAAAGCAACGTATGACTCTTTTTAACACATCATTTGTATATTTCCTATTTATTTTCAGCAGTTTTCCACGGCTTCAGTGCTGAATAGCTAAAATGAACAATTCAACATCCGGGACCTCTCAAGCGATTAACCATCTCTGGGTCATTACGTGGTGTGCGATATACGGGATCGTAGCAGCGGCTACCGTCATAGGCAACTCCCTAACAATCGCAGTGTTCTCAAAAAAGAAACTTCCACGCAAATTCGGCGGTTATTTCATAATAAATCTAGCAGTGGCTGACTTGATGGTGGGAGCTTTGGCTTTGCCAATGTATATATACTTTGTCTACGCCTTCAGTTATTTTCCAGAAAGAAATATCGTGACTTTTCAACAAGTCTACACAGTGGTAGACGTCTTCACTGGTCTAACGTCAGTGTTTACCATGGCTTCTATCGCCCTAGAAAGGCTTTATGGCGTACTCTACCCAATCCAATACCACTGGAGAGGTAAAAGAGTTTATTTTGTCACCATTATCGCGATGTGGGCTATTTCCGCCACCGCGTCCATTGTGTACATTTTAAGCACTCGAAGCCTTCTTTACTTACTGCCTGAAGCAACTTTCATTTATTACCTGACTGTCATCTCGGTGTTATCTGTTCTTGTCATCTGCGCCGCCTACGTTGTCTTTGGTCTGCGTGTTCACTTTTGGAACAAAAGTAAAATGGAGATGGTTGCGTCGAAACAGGAGAAACGACTAGCCGCTGCGTTATTCATAGTGACGGTAGTGTTTGTTTTAACATGGACTCCATTTCACGTCATGAACATTCTTGTTAACTTTACAAAGTCGTTTTTGTTCAGGATGCCGGTAGATCTTGTTCTCTTTGGAAAGTTACTTCATTACAGTAATTCCCTTGCTAATCCCGCCATTTACTGCTTTAAAATCCCCGAGTTCAGAATTGCTATAAGACTCATGTTTTGTAAAAACTGGGTCAGAGAGACTCGGGTGTGATTTCGTAAGTGGAATAATGACTGACAGATCTGGATAACGTTGAGCCTCTTAACAGAAATGATGATTTGAATGGCTTGAAAGCTACTCTAGTAGAAGTCTGCGCTTTAATTTCAAGGCCCACACCCCTCGTAGAGGGTAACAAGGATCTACAGAGACGACCTCATTTGTCCCGTAGACTAGTGCACACTCCAAAGTCTTTGTAAGATTGCCATTTCAGTGATGGGTTTCATGGAATAAGGAGGTGGGCGGCAATTTTCTTAATTAGGACAGTCTTATGGCGTAACTTTTTATTCGGAACAACGACAACACCACTAAGGGTAGATTACGGGAAAAAATGGCACTGATCCAGGGGGTGGACCCAGAGTAGTTTAAGAGATTTCCAGAAATCACTCAAATGTTTCAAATCTCTCAGAATGCAGGAAAATTGCATTCTGAGGCAACTAAATTTCAAATTTTCTTGGGGGACCATGCCCCCAAACCTCCCTAGTTAAGTTGGTGCAAATCACTCGTGTAAAAACCTGGATCCACCCCTGCTGATCTGTGACGTGAGATCAATCTGACCGCGGGTTTTGCGTGCTTGACGAGGAAAGAAGCGACGCGTACTTTGCTCACGTTGGGAAAACCTCCATAAACTACGCAAGGCTACAATTCTGTTTTCAAAGAGTTGATTAACTAGCCAACGTTTCGTGCAACTCAGTTGATTCGCAAAATTTTGCTCCGTCATTGTGTGGCATTAGACTGCTGCCTAAAGTAACACCCCTAGATAGAATTTTAAAGTTTACTACATCGTTGCCGTGGTCTCTATGAGACGTGTAGGTGACAAGAACATTTACTAGCAATAATGTCTCGCCCAGGCACGCATCATAAGAGTGACCTGACATACACTTGCCCGAGGCGTTGTTAGGAGGACTGTGAATTCGAAGATCAAGCGATGATAAAGTTAGTGGAACATCATCTGTGGTAGAACACGAGCAACCCATCTCTTTTCTAGGTTCGTCAAAGGCGACTTGAAGGACAACGAGAAAAAATGGGTGGCTTTCCGTAATCTAAATCCGAGGGGACCGATTCACAGAACTATGCGATCTCAGAAAGCAGACGAAGATTTAACTAACATCACATAATACCATGCTGATTGTTTTAATAAAGGAAAAACTGCAATGGTGTGAGTATTGTTCATCTGAATTGTGTTTACTCAGACAGGAAATGAAATCAACCGCCATGAAAGTACAAACGTAAGCGACTCAAAAGAATTCTACGCTGACTGATTAATCTTAAAATTTGCATAAGTTTTACCGCAAGACGAAAAAAACAGAAACGATTATCGTTAATTAACAAAGACCTTTAAACACAAATTATTCAAAATTTCGCAAAAATATTGATTTCTTTGTACTTTTGCCTTTCGTTTATGACAGAAGCCTTCACGGCAGAAAGCAAATATTTTGTACTCGCTGCAAAAATCGACGTTAATTAGACAGCGATCATTTGGCGACTCGATATCACTGTCATGTTGGTCTGGCTAGCAGCTCGGAGCAGTTTAACCTTTTGTTTAAGTGATCAGTTTTCCATAAACAAGTCCACCTGTTTAGTGTGGAACTGAAATGTAGGTTTAGATAGCCCCTTTAACTTTGTCGATAATTAGAAGTATAATTTTGCATTTGTTATAAAATACCGTCCNTATAGAGTTAAATCCGCATGGTTGTGTATGTCATAATTCATTTACGTATATAGGGGAGTAGTCGTGTCTTTCCTGAAGATTTATTCCCCGGGAGAGCTGCTATGCTTTTTTACAACCCACACCTTACCTTTCGTGTCTAATACTCTATGCCTAGTCTTGAGGCGTGTAAGAAATCACACTGAACCTAAACCATAGATGGTTTACTACCATCTGGATCTCCGTTGATCTACGGCGAAGGAATGAACAAGGTAATTCTGACAAAAAAGATTAAATTTCGTGGTACGTATTCTAGTGCGGTAGACTGCTGTATGCACGGAATCATTTAAGCAACCCTGAGGTGTCGTGAAAAAAAAAATGTACTCTCTGACACTAACATGCACAGTTTCAAACAGTGTATTGTTAAGTTTGAAACACATGTTCAATCACAAGATTTTCTTTTGAGTTAATTTAATCTTAAATGCATATTCCTAACCTGTGGGGCCTCAACATTCCTTGTTGGTGACTAATGAGTGTGATGTAATTTACTTAGTGGAAAAAGATAGAGGGCCGATCAGCGCTAAAATTGTTTTTGTTATCACCGTCGCCCAGCTAACACAAATGGTTTGCCGGCCAGGACAAATTCCATTCACAAAATAATTTCAAGCGGTACCAGGAACAATATTAGTCCCGGGTAAAAACAAGAAAAAGATCGACAGGGTAAACAGAGTTGTGTTGAACGTGTCAATCATAAGCCATAAAACTATTAGTCTTTCTTAATTCCATTAGCTTTTGTTGACATACATGAGCAAAAATGGAGATACCGAGCCACAATCAAAAATTTTCACAGATATTTGTCCGAGAGAATTTCAGTTTGTTTTGATTGCTAGTTCAAATCAAACCATTCCTCCGTTACTCCAGCAAGCGATATAATTGACGATATCTGCCTACATAATGAACAATAGAATAAGTCAAGTCGAGTCAATCGACTTTGGTAATGGCAACATGCACACTGTTTTACCTTGGTCTAACGACAAACTAAATATAGAAACTGAAAATCTACAAGCAAGCAAAGATGGGGACAAGAATCCAGCTATAATTTGGTAAATGTTTACCACGGAATGAATGAGACAGCATCACCGAAAGCTGGGGAAGGAGAGGAAAAAAACAGACGTTCATATCAGGAATAGGAAGGGAGGGTTCTGTTCAGGAAGGCTTCGACTAAAGTGCTGACCCTGTACATTCAAAAGACTGGTGTTTATTTCTCTCGCTTGAAATATCCGAAATAAATGCTTTTGTTCAGCATTGGCTTCACCTTTTGCTCTGAATGTAAGGTAGACGCTAGCGCTCACAGGTTGAAACACAGATCTTTCTCCTGCGTACCGAGATAGGATTTAGCAACATGCAGCGAGAAGTACATGCAAACGCTTACACAAACTGATGTAATGCACGCGAAGTACATTCTAGTCCAAATTTTTCTCATGTCTGAAATAAAAAAATAAAAAAACAGCAACAACAACAACAACAACAGGGCCTCAAAACGTGCCCTCAGTACGTTAATTAATTCCTTTTTGAAATCATTATCAATGGCAAAGACTGTCCATCAAGCAAGACAAGTACTTCGATGATCAGTTACTTCACTGAAAGTCAACCCTTTGGGGATTAACGGATAAAATTTATGGATAAAATTGAAATTTGATCACATAATTCAATGGTGATTTCTTTTTGAATCTTATTAACCTGGGCATTCACACGATACAACATGCGGCAAGTGCTATTTCGGTTGTTTTTGGCTGTTATGCCGTTTAGAGAAAGGAATAATTTTATACGGTTTGGCTAAACACAAAATTGTGTGGTATTTACATATTTTCAACACACAATGTTATGTTCTGTTTAAAATCTTAGTCTCGAGGTTATTCTTAATTAACGTATTCTAAAGATTTTGCAAATTTCAGGCTCGATACTCATAAAATATATTCTTAGAAAAAAAAAATAGTGTATTTCCAAATATAGACATTACCAAGGTGTAAACTTGACCTGTAGAATATGCCGCATTTTTTTTTTCTTTTTGTTAACCGTTCGGGTGAAGCGATCATAAGGTAACCTTAGAAGCTAGCTCACCACAAATTCGACACCCACAGTGAGCACTGTGTGCTCTATAGACTGTAATTGTTTTTGCACCAGTATGTTGATTTACTGCAATTCCACCATAGCTAGATGCTGTGAGATATTCTCAACTAAAACTCGTGGTATTCAATTATGTATTATTTATGTGCCTTGCTTGAAAAACTGAGGTAGGAGAATATTTGGCCTTACCGTTCTTTCGTTAGGTTCTTCCAATCCAAATTTCTATCTCTTTATTTGCTAAGCTGTTCCCGTGTAAGGTGGCGAGCCATTTGCTGTTCTTATCCTGCGTTAAGAATCCAATGTTCCCTTTAAAACTGCGACGCACTGCAGAAAGCAACGTATGACTCTTTTTAACACATCATTTGTATATTTCCTATTTATTTTCAGCAGTTTTCCACGGCTTCAGTGCTGAATAGCTAAAATGAACAATTCAACATCCGGGACCTCTCAAGCGATTAACCATCTCTGGGTCATTACGTGGTGTGCGATATACGGGATCGTAGCAGCGGCTACCGTCATAGGCAACTCCCTAACAATCGCAGTGTTCTCAAAAAAGAAACTTCCACGCAAATTCGGCGGTTATTTCATAATAAATCTAGCAGTGGCTGACTTGATGGTGGGAGCTTTGGCTTTGCCAATGTATATATACTTTGTCTACGCCTTCAGTTATTTTCCAGAAAGAAATATCGTGACTTTTCAACAAGTCTACACAGTGGTAGACGTCTTCACTGGTCTAACGTCAGTGTTTACCATGGCTTCTATCGCCCTAGAAAGGCTTTATGGCGTACTCTACCCAATCCAATACCACTGGAGAGGTAAAAGAGTTTATTTTGTCACCATTATCGCGATGTGGGCTATTTCCGCCACCGCGTCCATTGTGTACATTTTAAGCACTCGAAGCCTTCTTTACTTACTGCCTGAAGCAACTTTCATTTATTACCTGACTGTCATCTCGGTGTTATCTGTTCTTGTCATCTGCGCCGCCTACGTTGTCTTTGGTCTGCGTGTTCACTTTTGGAACAAAAGTAAAATGGAGATGGTTGCGTCGAAACAGGAGAAACGACTAGCCGCTGCGTTATTCATAGTGACGGTAGTGTTTGTTTTAACATGGACTCCATTTCACGTCATGAACATTCTTGTTAACTTTACAAAGTCGTTTTTGTTCAGGATGCCGGTAGATCTTGTTCTCTTTGGAAAGTTACTTCATTACAGTAATTCCCTTGCTAATCCCGCCATTTACTGCTTTAAAATCCCCGAGTTCAGAATTGCTATAAGACTCATGTTTTGTAAAAACTGGGTCAGAGAGACTCGGGTGTGATTTCGTAAGTGGAATAATGACTGACAGATCTGGATAACGTTGAGCCTCTTAACAGAAATGATGATTTGAATGGCTTGAAAGCTACTCTAGTAGAAGTCTGCGCTTTAATTTCAAGGCCCACACCCCTCGTAGAGGGTAACAAGGATCTACAGAGACGACCTCATTTGTCCCGTAGACTAGTGCACACTCCAAAGTCTTTGTAAGATTGCCATTTCAGTGATGGGTTTCATGGAATAAGGAGGTGGGCGGCAATTTTCTTAATTAGGACAGTCTTATGGCGTAACTTTTTATTCGGAACAACGACAACACCACTAAGGGTAGATTACGGGAAAAAATGGCACTGATCCAGGGGGTGGACCCAGAGTAGTTTAAGAGATTTCCAGAAATCACTCAAATGTTTCAAATCTCTCAGAATGCAGGAAAATTGCATTCTGAGGCAACTAAATTTCAATTTTTCTTGGGGGACCATGCCCCCAAACCTCCCTAGTTAAGTTGGTGCAAATCACTCGTGTAAAAACCTGGATCCACCCCTGCTGATCTGTGACGTGAGATCAATCTGACCGCGGGTTTTGCGTGCTTGACGAGGAAAGAAGCGACGCGTACTTTGCTCACGTTGGGAAAACCTCCATAAACTACGCAAGGCTACAATTCTGTTTTCAAAGAGTTGATTAACTAGCCAACGTTTCGTGCAACTCAGTTGATTCGCAAAATTTTGCTCCGTCATTGTGTGGCATTAGACTGCTGCCTAAAGTAACACCCCTAGATAGAATTTTAAAGTTTACTACATCGTTGCCGTGGTCTCTATGAGACGTGTAGGTGACAAGAACATTTACTAGCAATAATGTCTCGCCCAGGCACGCATCATAAGAGTGACCTGACATACACTTGCCCGAGGCGTTGTTAGGAGGACTGTGAATTCGAAGATCAAGCGATGATAAAGTTAGTGGAACATCATCTGTGGTAGAACACGAGCAACCCATCTCTTTTCTAGGTTCGTCAAAGGCGACTTGAAGGACAACGAGAAAAAATGGGTGGCTTTCCGTAATCTAAATCCGAGGGGACCGATTCACAGAACTATGCGATCTCAGAAAGCAGACGAAGATTTAACTAACATCACATAATACCATGCTGATTGTTTTAATAAAGGAAAAACTGCAATGGTGTGAGTATTGTTCATCTGAATTGTGTTTACTCAGACAGGAAATGAAATCAACCGCCATGAAAGTACAAACGTAAGCGACTCAAAAGAATTCTACGCTGACTGATTAATCTTAAAATTTGCATAAGTTTTACCGCAAGACGAAAAAAACAGAAACGATTATCGTTAATTAACAAAGACCTTTAAACACAAATTATTCAAAATTTCGCAAAAATATTGATTTCTTTGTACTTTTGCCTTTCGTTTATGACAGAAGCCTTCACGGCAGAAAGCAAATATTTTGTACTCGCTGCAAAAATCGACGTTAATTAGACAGCGATCATTTGGCGACTCGATATCACTGTCATGTTGGTCTGGCTAGCAGCTCGGAGCAATTTAACCTTTTGTTTAAGTGATCAGTTTTCCATAAACAAGTCCACCTGTTTAGTGTGGAACTGAAATGTAGGTTTAGATAGCCCCTTTAACTTTGTCGATAATTAGAAGTATAATTTTGCATTTGTTATAAAATACCGTCCCATCCAGCAAACGAAGTTGAACCTCAGTGTAATCAGCCGGTTAGCATTCGTGACTAGCTGCTTAACACAACATGGGAAGTCATAATAAAATTACCAAAAAAACATAACCTCAAGTCGACGCTTCTGTCTCATTATTTGCATATTGCAAACTGGGGTCGGATCGCTGAGTCGTAAATGGATGTTTATTAGTTATTTAATCAATTCAGTCAGTACCTCTGTGGAATGATTCTAAAAAAACTGAGAGTAAAAAATCTCAAGAAGGTTGAACGGAAACATACTGAATGATGAACCGATTTTGAAGATCACGGGCGAGAGGCGGAAGATTAAGTTAGATCATTAATCGCTCATGAGTAGACAGCATGGTTATTTAATACTCTCTAAGTTTTCTCTGAAGGGTCGGTCTAAGAAGAAGGGAAATGAACTGGGGCAAAAACCTCACCATCATTTGGCAATGTTTCATAACATCTAAATCTCCTGAGGAAGTAGGTTGTTTTTTTAGTCTTGCCCATGCAGGTGAATACGGTGAACCGTAGTCTGACAAATGAAATTATTAAAAACAGCCGTAAGCGACTACAGTCAGGAGCGAGGGCGTTGCGACACGGCTTTTTCAAGTATTCAATTAGCCCATTGTTCGGGCGGGTAAACTAACGCAAAATGACATAAAAATAATATAAACCGCGCAGCGATTTGCATATTTGTCGCTACGCGGCGGTCGCGAGTCCATTTCAATGCAAAGTGACAACGCAAGATGCACTTGAAGCAGTTGGTATTCACAACATAGGATATCACGAAACTGAAGTGCAAGAGCTCTTAACCCTCCGCTGAATTTACTTTACAGGTAAACCCTCTTGACCGCCTTGGTTTCTTGAAACGTATTCCCTGTAGGCTGTTCTTAGATCTCGTAGCCCGCCTGCGTTGCACCGTAGCAGGGAATTATTATTGTTTTGCCCTGATCACAATTGTTCTCGATAGCGGTCTAGTTTTAGTTAGTTGGTTGATGATCTGTCTTTCACTCGTTTCTCTTCTTCATTGATTCAATTCATTTAAACTGAGCAGTCAGGAGCGATAGGTCGCACTCGTCGTTTTCTATTTGTTTTACCATTTAGTGACATGTAATCAGGAGGTTGTTATCGATCAAGGGAAATGACTTGGAAGCCCAAGAGTTGCCATAGAAATACTGCCAGAAATACTATAATCTCTAAGACCGATTTCTTTCGTATGATGCGCTGTAAACTTCATAATCTCGATTCAGACTTGTTTGCTTTCATGCGCAATTCGTTTACTTGTGTAATTTAGGTTCCATATGCACTTGTAAGGACAAAGAAATGACTTAAAGCCATCAAAGCAATCAACGCATTTCCATTCAGTAGCCATAACGGTCGGAAAACTACTGCGACTAAGAAAGAAGTTGTATTTGGAAAAAAAAAAAACATGGCGGACTTCTTGTAAGCTGGTACCTTTAAATCGACACGGTAAGATCTCCAACACACAAAGCGAACAACGCTTAGACAAATACATGCTATAATACACGCCGTAGTTGCTTGTTGTACGCATGAGTTCCGCTTGTTTCCATAAAAGAACCATCTAATTGATGTCATAAATTGTTATATTTTGTCTACAACAAAATCTTAAAACACGATGTTCAAAAGTGTTTCACGTTTTCACTTCATTATGATTTTAAAAATGGAATGAATGGTGAATGAATCGGCGAGATTTATCACCAGAACAGTTCTGGTACATGATCGCTTAAATTGACTTCTAGAATATTTCAAGGGTAAAAGGGTGAGCCCTAATGCTGTCAGCATGACCGTTCTTGAAGAAAAAGTTTCACATTCTGGAGTGTTACATGAGGCAAAAACTTGTTGACGTTTCGCTAAGATTACAGAAAGCGTGTGTAACAACAGCTGTTCCGCTTACCGGGATGCTCTGCTAGTTTTAATCAAGTTTGTAGAAAAGTGTGCATTAACGAAATAAACGAAGCATGTAAGATGCTTCCAACTTTTTGAGGAGTACGTGGACTAAAAACGTTAAATCATAGTGAATAAAACACATTATTCGCAACTCTCTAGGGTTTTCAGATAAGGTACGTCGTCTTTCCGTTCTGAGATTGAAACAGACTCGTTACTTGGAATTCTACATGTCATGTCGAGTATTGTTTACTCATAGCAGGATAGGAATGACATTTTTTATCAAGTTGCATATTAAATTTGGCAAAGTGACTGAGTTTCTAGAATCTTGTAAAAAACCCCTACCAAAAACCTGCGGCCGAGTGGCACAGTCAATTTCGTAAACATGACGTCTTAGTTTGCAAAGGAGACAAGTTCGAATTAAATATTCATTGTTGATATTCAGGTTTACCGGTTTACGTCGATCATTCCATTCGAGTTTTTTGATTTCGCATTGCCACTGTATTGTTCAATTAGGGACAAAAAAAGTCATGGATGACAAAAATCATGGATGACGTGCGGACCCCTGTGTGTTCAACCGACTGTTCTGTCGCTTGTGAATAGAGGTACAAATCGAAAGTTTGCAAAAGGCGATTTACAATGGCATTAGCTTTGAAATGATAGTTCGGCTTCTTGTTCTCTTCTAAGACAATTGTGAAAATAGTTTACTTGGCGGGAAAATAGTTTTTTCTTTCTCTTTCTTTCTTTCTTTTTTTTTTAACTACAGATCTCACTATATAGTAGATGGATGATTTCGAAAATGTTAACTATAGCACTTAAAATTGCGTCCCTGTATACTTAAAGAACATAAATGGTTAGGAAGAGGTCATTGAAAAGGTCATTACAACAGTAAACAAAGAAATCTTTAGTGAGAGCAAATTTGCAATTTTAATGTTTCTTCAGAAAGCAGCCAACGCAGTGAGGCAGCCAAGAGAGCCCTAAAACCTTTACCCTAATTTTTTTTTTTTTTTTTTTTTTGTGGGTCTCGTACCGTTTGAACGATAGACAGGGCTCATTTCCATTCATCCTGGCCTACCTTCCCACGATTAATAGAGTGCATGTACTGTGTATATATTTTTCGTGAATATGTTATGACCAAAATTCAACAATCACCGTACTATGTATGTTTGTTTGCTACTTCCGGAACAGGGAAGAGGCCAACCGTTCTTGTATGTTTGATAACACAAGAGATTTCAATTCCTAAATTCTCCATCACTGCTGCCATTTGAGCTTTCGTCCGTAAGAGGATTCCGCACCAGTTTTCAAAACGAGACTGACATTGCTGAAGCCCTCGAGAGGTGAGTGCTGCAAGTTTCGTGTGAAATGAAATGTCCAACTGGAAATGAGTTTTATCTTCCTTATCTAATCCTTTTAGCCTGAGATTCAGGTGTAGCACATGCACACATTCGTTTAAAATGTCGTAAACTATAGTGGGCAGTTTTAGTGGTAAACCAAGCCAAATAGATTGCAAGCCGCATAAACAGCTCACCTCAAGCTTTACGATTTACGACTGCCATTGAAAGGACGGCCTACCAGAACTGCCTTGGAACCCTGCCAGTTGTTGTTGTAGAAAGAACGCTTTCACATGTTATGGGCTTCGATGTTAGATGAAACAAAATTTCCAATGGCTTTTCTTGGAACGTTCAATTCATAATAACCTGCTGTTTTAATCCAATAAAGCCAATTTAATTTCATAGTAGTCTGCGATTTGGCGATTTCCATCAGATCAGAGTTTTCGCACTAGGACATATCTCAGTATTTCCCCTATAAATACCCGTTTACATTTAACATGGGCGAGTTTTTTTACTTATTTTTTAGCAATTCCTGTTCAATTTTATCTCAGTTAATATAATCAATGTCTATTTTCTTCGAAGGAAGGAGTCATCTCCAATTTCTAATGACTTGGCTTAGAAAATGCAATTTGCCTGTTTGGTATTCCATCACAACTTTACATTTATTCATAGTAGCATAGATGAAGCCACAAATCTCTTCTAATTAAAGAGCAAAATTAAATCAAAATACATTTTCAGGAGCATACTTAATTAGCAAATCCGAAACTAAAAATAATGCGGAAAAAAGTACGGCAATAAAATACAGGAAACTTAATTCAGTTGGGGTGGCGTATAATTCTGAATCGTGCACCGCGAGTGCGCCCACAGAAATTCATGTTAAAAAAATAAATAAATAAATAAATAAATAACAATTCTAACTTAAAAAAAGAAAGAAATTGGAAGACAATTCCCCCCTTTTTTCTCTTTTTGTTCAATGTTCTTAATTCTATTTTTTTCGTCCAATGTTCGTCAAAATATGCGTTCAACCATCTTCACTGAATTCAAGCTGCGACAATTCCACCTTTGCTTTGTTTTTGTTTTTGTTCAATGTTCTTAATTCTATTTTTTCTTCGTCTAATGTTCGTCAAAATTTACGTTCAACCATCTTCACTGAATTCAAGCTGAAAGCTAAACTGAACAATTTCAACCACGAGAAAAAAGCACTTGAGTTAGTTATGGTTGTCTTAGCAGCAGCGACAATCTTGAATTTCTCGATTTTTAATGTAATTTAGTTTTTGTGAGAATTCAATCACCGTTAAACGCTGAACGTCTTCAACAAAACAACTCTCTGGTATATTCGCCCCCATGCATCACCCACACAGCGAGTTTAAGTGCGCTTCAATCTGTTTGGTCGATACTAAAGAATGAAATGAGAGTTTCGTTATTTTTTGCAAAGGATGTAAAATGAATAAAGAACGGATAAAATGGTCCGCTATTTCGCATGTAGGGACAATTCAGCCGATCTAAGCCTGAAGCTGTTTTGAGCTAAATCTTAATTAATAAAACCCGGCACTCCTCAATTTCTTAGCACTAGCGTGATGTTTCCTTTTCAATAATGCCATAGGAAAAGAGCAGGTGTAGAGGATACATCAATCTGTTTTCAAAAGAAAATTACTGTCTATAGCTTCCGGAGGCTTGCTCAAACACCCAACATGCAATTACTCTTAGCTGCAATGTATTTCCATTCAAAAGGTCAATTCAGCCCTAAGATCGACAGTAAACTACGATCGCGTTCGTGCAGTTGTTCATTCCACGAGCCAGCTGAGTGAATTTCGGAGAGAATACTGTAAGTCTACCTCGAGTAGTTGCGTGGAAAACCTTTTCATACCCTCCGGTCACGAACCTTACCTGTCAACGCTACACATATTTCAGTCAAATGACTAATAGTTTTGTCTAGGATTCTGGTTGAAATGCTTTAGAGTTGGCTTACGCTATCAATATCATTTTCGACTTATTTTCAGAATTTTCATGAACAGAACAATCAAGAACCAAGACAAAAAGGGCAAGACAAAAAACGGATACATGTAAAAGGCAACGGTGTAGGGAAGTTTATTCAAGCGTGGCTTCCCTAAAGATAAACATATCAAATCTCAAAACTATGCAAACGAGGTTAAACTTTAGGAGTGTTGTAATTATAACCAACCGTATCCGCGTCACGTAATCACTGCAAATACCTCAGCCGTTAGTCAATACGCAAACCAAGCCTTATACTTCTTTGACATCCATGATCATCTAGACATTCAGGAACAGTCACGAAGATACCCTGGTAAGCGAAACACTTTTCCGTTTGACAGTGATTTTTCATAAGTACACGATTGGCAAACCTGAAATCTACCAGCTTGTGTGGCAAATGTCACAATGAAGCTGTTTATGTGTTTATGTTGTTGTTCAAAAAACAAACTAACCGTACCACGCGAATAATCAAATCAGACATGCCTGCTTCTAATTGAAAATAGCTTTGTTAGAACTTATTAATCTCCATTAGTGTTTTTCTGGCCAATTGTAGAATCTCTTACTGTGCTCGCAAGCTGTTATACTAGATTGCGTTCGCGAAACTCGTATGATCTGGTTTCGAGTGAAACACGAGAAGTACGTTGGATGAAAAACAATGCTAGTAAAATTCAATCTTTAGGCCTTGATTTGCCTCGCTATTTGTTGCGGTAGATACTTCAGAGCTTGATCTCAATACTGTTGAGGCAAATGTCTCCCCAGCATTTAGATCTATCGTCAAACTTAAAGACTTAGTATGCATGATTCCCCCGTAGATTGACACAAGAGAAACGTAAATATATGGAATTCGACTCACCTTTGCCCTTCAAAGTATCTGGAGGTCTTCGCTTCCCGTAAGTCTAAAAGGCGGAGGCAGCTTTTATTCACTTTGTGTTTGATCGCAGGAACCAATGTTTCTTGTACTACTTTGCACCTTATGGATGTGCGAATTTATGCCAGTGATTGGCTACGTCTCCGGCGGTACTGTCGCTGTCGCAGTCTATGAAAGGCTCCCGCTATTTATGTACCTTATAGTGCACGCTGCGACGTTTTTAAATACACCCAGCTTTGATGCGCGACGGCAATAGAATTTGAATTCGTTTTACTTCTAATGTGGTAAAAGTTGGTTTCTCCGTGTCTTGTAACATGAGAGAATAATTCAAATAGTATCCTAATGAAAATAATGTGCATTGTTCAGAGTGGAGTTGAATTTCTCCCCAGTCAGCTTCATCACGCCTGAGTGACTTGACCAGATTTCTTTATTTATCTCTATTTATACACTTTTTTTTTGTTTTTTCATTTTAGTATTTATTATTTCTACTTTAATTTTTTTGTTTTAGCACAAAATTGGACTCTTGCATGGACTAACCCCGGCAGATTTCGGGTAGGTTTTATTGTTCAGCGGGAAAGAAATTATTTCGCTATGTAGTAGGCAAAATCTGGAGAATAGATGTCATTACGGGCATATTGGATCAAAAATGTAAATCATAGTCTATAATATTTTGTCGCTCAATTCTTCAACTTCTCCGTAGAGCCTCTGTCAATATCCCATTACATACTTGCCGTTCCAACCTTTCATCGATTTCAGTCGGTGTCCAGGCTGTAACAAGTACATCGTCATAGACGAAGTGAGCAGGGAGCAAAAGAATGCCGAACATCCGCCAAAAAAATTTAACATAGTCCGCCCAATCCGTGTATAAAATTTTTTCAGCTTACTCTACAGGAAGCTGGATTTTATTCGTCACAAGAAACACGTAAACAACAAACGTGACTCACGTACACAAAAGATCGCTGACTTCTGTACCCTTTCTTTCAATCGTGTTTTCTTCTCGACCTTTGTGGTACATTTAATAGAGACAAAAGCGTGATCATTATATTGTTTTGACAAGTCTTAGAAGCTTATCACACCACTTATATTCGCTTTGCCATACTTCATTGTCGACGTCGGAAATAGTTTCGTTTTTAATCGTTTAGAACTGTAAACAAGAGCCACTTCCATTCAGAAAGGAGTGCAATTTTGTCATTTCATTATCTAGTATAATTTCTCTCAGTAGAAGACAACACAAATTGATATAAACTAACTATTCTTAATCTTTGATCGAAACGATAAGTTGTATCGTTAAACAATGAAAAGTTACGTCATATAAGCCAAACATAACGTCAAGGTTCTTGGCATCTTTCCGGAGCCTTCGGTGCCAAAATATGTAATGTATGTTGTTGTCACAAAACCGTCACGACATCCGTTGATATCACCTGAAAGACCCCTGACTTATGTTTGCGCTTGTGAAAAAGCAGAGTCTTATCGCCTCGTTGATTCCTTATTTTGTACGTAACCAACTGTCATAAGAACAGGAAAATGCCAAGGTACGTAGAAAGAACGAGAGTAATTCGTTTGCTAGACATTTTTTCACGTTTCTCTCTTGAGCCGGTATCCTCCGCAAAATGATATTTCACCCTTGCTTCATAGTCTACGATAGCGGACATATTTCCAAGGAGCTGCAGTTATGTTGATATTGCATAACAATGAGTTCGTCAGATAAATGTATTGAACGAGTCTAATTAGTTTTATAGGCTGTTGACTGAGTGAGCAATGATATCCGGCATTGCTAAATCGAAATCGGTCTTTCTGTTAAGGGAAAATTATCTCAAAGAAAACCATCAAACCGGCTTGAGAGTAAGTTTCTTCCGTATCGTTTTAGTGCTTTTTTTTATGACAGACCGAATGACTAATCACAATTAATGTAATGCTCATAAAGTAAACTGATCAATAGACAAACTCTCCTTTCTCGCTTAGGCACTGCCTTGCGCGCATTATTTGGAATCACTTCAAACTTGACCTCCTTTTGCCGCAGCCATAACTCTTTGTAAACAACATTTTTGAATGTTTCATTTTCAAGTTATGGCTCATCAAAATATTGCTGGAATTCAAAGCAACATGTGTATTATCCATGAGACACTCTGAGACAGTTTATTGAGCACCTACATATTCCTGGATTATGTTAACAGTTGTTTTGAAACGTGTACATGTATTGGACACCAGCAATATTCGTGACATTATGATCTCAATATTTGTTTTTCAACGTATACATGTGTTGAACACCGACAATACGAGTGACATTATGATCTCACTGTATAATATTAGCAGTTGTTTTGAGACGATTACAAGTAGTGTATCTTTAAGCTCTCCTCTTTGTCGAGGATATTTGTTTTTTGTTGGGCGAAATTGCGAAACCTACGGATAGATTATTTATTTACTCCTTTTTTAATCTTTGTATCAAATAGTTTGTAAGACTCTGCTTGCTTATGCAATCGTTGCTTTTGTCAGTGAGAGGTCATTCTATAGTTTTTCAGTTTTTTTTTTTTTTTTCTTAAATAACAAAGTTGGGGAACAGTCTTTCCTCTGGGGTTCGCCCATCCTCTTCTTTTAGTAGTTTACATATATTTATTTGCTCCAATTATTACGATCAGTACTTCTCTACCATGTGGCTTAGTAGTGTATTTTCAATTGAGCGTTTCTCAATTGAGCGTCTTATGTAAGAGGATGTGTGCATGATAGCACGACTACTTTCATGGCGGCGTGAACTCATCCCGGTTCCCTCTTGTGGTTCTGTATTCATTTACCACCACAAAATGTCATACCGGAGACTGTTTGTTTCCTATCCCTTGCGGCATTATGAAACTCAAACTGCCTTAAAATATCAGCTTCAAAAAAAAAACATGTATGACTTTTTCACCTCGCGCTAGAACGCAAGTGGCGCCGGTAACAAATAAACACCTGATATTTGCTTTAGTACGATTTATTATTAGGGGTGGTGAATAGTACATGCCAGAGTCAGAGACAAGGTGAGACTAGCGTTTTTCTTTGCGAGCCCGAGACATTTTGACGTTTCAAATTGCCGGACCGAGGCGCGAGACGTTTAGGCTTTTTGAGACGTTCAGATGGCATTCATAAAACCAAACGAAAAAATCGGCACTTCGAGACTTTTGCAACCTTGCCAAGAATCGAGATCCGAGACAGATTGGTGAAAAATGGAGACTGCGAGACCGCTAAAAAAAAAAAAAAAAAAAAAAAACACGAACGAGACTGCGAGACCCGTGAGATTCGTTTGCGAGACCCATGGTGTGTGAAGGACCACTGGCCATCCGTATCACACTACATGCAAACTCAACCTGTCATGACGAATACAAGGCCAAGGACAACCGAAACTTAGTCACGCGCGTTTTCCCGCTCTTGGTGCAAGTCATGTGTGCACTGTTTCTTTGGTTGTTTACGTTTGTTTTCACTGGACATTGTGAGTGCTTTGGATTAGGTTTTGTGGATATTTGCTTGGAAACTCCCGACTAATATGCGGTTGTATTTCACAGAAACACCAGAAATATTGTATGACCAACCTCTTTTTTTTAAGTTTAGTGCAAATGTAATCAGACAGAGATTGACGAACAATGAGCAAACAAACTTTTTTGTAAGTGAGACAAAAATCATGTTCCTACGTCCCTCTTTTTCTCCATTTCAATGCTTTACACGTGGAACACCGTACTTTAACGTTGCTATGGGAACATAGATAAATACGGTTATGCAACCCTCTTCTTAGAACCACCCCACCAACCACCCCATACCTCACCCTCACTCCAAATATAATACATGTACATGTACTACAAGGTGCCAAGGTGTCTCTTGATAAACAGAACAATTTTTTCTGATTGTAAGCCCATAAATTTGCACTACTTAAACAATAGAGTTTTCTGTCGACGAACTATCGCCTGATAGTTGCCCGCGGAAATTTGATGTTCTTGAAACAAATATTTGCCCGAGAAGCGAATATGCTATTTTTTTTGGTCAAATTTGGGTGCGGTGCAAACCTTTTCATACCTTTTTGGTACACTTCAGTGGCATAGAAGGCTCGTTTGGTTTGGCTATGGATCTTTTTCCTCGACTGCGTCTCGCCACAATATGAACCATGGCTCCCCAAACCTCGCTTGATATGCGGTCGAAGTGTTTCAAAAAAATACGATCAGGGCCAACCTTGCATACGGCGACTGCGCCCGCAGTACGAACTGCAGCCAAAACCGAACTGTCTATCCGAAACGACACGATAATTGACTTTTCCTTCGTAGCAACAGAATAAAGACAATGCTAAAGTTTCTTTGGTCTCTTCTCATATTTAAGTCAAGAATTCTGGACCTAACTTGACGAAGGACAACAAGTCTTGTTCAAAATAGCACAACTATTTTCATGCCTGGCGACACTCGGCGAACTACGAGTGAGTTACAGGACGCGGGCAACCCATTTTTGGCGCCAAATTAAAAGCTTGGCGACAAAAAAAATGTTTCATATTCTCACTTCTTGCAATGTGATATGGTTTTTGGAATTATAAATCCTTTTTCGTAAATATTTAGTGTCGTTTGCAGCGAGAAAAGTTGCCCGACTGCAATGACTTTCCTGTTTACTTACCTAAGTCGAGTGCCGGACAAAGAACATTTTACTACCGCATGGTGCACATCTGGAACAATCTAGACAATACCCTTAAAACCGCAAAATCGATTTCTACTTTTAAATTTTACCTGAAAAACAAATTGATTACTGATTTTTTAAATGGCACGTCATGATTGTATGTCACTACATTTTGATATTTGTTGTATGATGAATTGTATGTTTTATGATTATTGTTTAATGTTTATCTTTTAAGTCAATAAGTATAGCTCTCTTGTATTGTCACTGAAAAGCCCCTTCAGCGGAGTGTCAATAAACTATTGTTATTGTTACATTGGCGTCATGACCGCACATTGTTTCTGCCGCCTACTGAATCTTGATTGGCCAATTCAAATTTCAGCCCGCCAGTCGTATGTAAGGAATACCTGGTGAAGTTGTTTTATTGGAATTTTGTCTTGTTTAATATGCACCCGTATTTTTTTAATGGTAAAAAAACAGAAAAGACACACAGTACGAACAAGTGGGACGTTCAATGCTTTAATGCATGTTTACTGTATTTTGTCTTTGTTTAGTGACTGACTGCCAGCACGATGAATAACTCCTCCAACATTGTTGAGAACCAGACTCAGCCCCGACCCGTGGCAAATTATTTCAGCAATGAGGAGATGATAGCCTGGTGTTTTGGATTTGGTATCATAGACGCCCTTATCGTCACTAGCAACACCCTCGCTATAGTCGTATTTACGCGGAGTAAGTTGCTACGGAAGCGTACGAACTACTTTCTGCTGTGTTTAGCCATCGCGGACATGATGATCGGCACGATTTCATTGCCATTGTTCATTCACACACTGGTCGTTTTTACTCGGAGTGAGACTTCAAAGAACCTCGCGGATATCGATAAGATATCGACGTTGCTGGACATTTTCTCAGGGTTTGCGTCAGTCTTTGCGCTGACAACTATATCTCTGGAACGTTTGTACTCGGTCGCTCTTCCAAACTGGCACCGAACCACGCCCAAGTATATGTATTTTATTTTATTGGCCAGCACTTGGGCGCTGGCCGGTATGCTTGTCTGTATCAAAATTTTTGTTTACGAGAAAGAGGTTGAAAGTGATGTCTTCAATTACCTCATCATTACCGTTTTCCTGATTTGTTTGCTGGTGATTTGCCTGGCATATGTCGGTATTTGGATCAAGGTTGTCCAAAGAATGCACGAGAAGACAAAGCGAACGCTGGAGAAGGACAAGAAACTAGCCACGACTCTCTTTTTAGTGACTGCAATATTTGTAATGACTTGGGTTCCATTCCATGCCATTAATATCTTTTACGTTAAGTTGTGTCCGCAAAGCTCCACCTGCCCAAAATTAATATTCACAGCTGTGTACCTCACTAAATTCATGCAGTATTCGAACTCTTTCGTCAATCCGATAATCTACACCTTTAAGATGCCTGACTTCCGACGAGTTCTGTTATCCATATTTGGAAGGCCACCCTACGGAGCGTCTACCAGAGCTACCTCGAGGATGATAACGGAGCGACGGAAAAGAGCAAGCACGCTGCGAACCAGCGAATCGGCAGAGGCTAATGGCAACTGCGAGTGCGCCCTATGACAGTCTCAATTAATTATAGCACTACACTCATGGTACGACTACATTTGAACGCCCAGCTGGTGAGTCCTCCCAGAGGGAAAAAACATTATTTCGCTCTATCCATGCTGAGAGTTAATACGTCTAAATGAGTTGTAAGTTTTAACATTTATATTTATCTTTGGTAAACAAAGAAAAATAGATGTGGTTTCACACAATCGTAGGAGTGCCCGACAGTATAAATCTACTGGCGTTCTATCACGAATGCCGTCTTCTCATTGGTTACGCTACTCACTATATATTTTGTAAAAAAATTGTGAGTAGCCTAGCAGTGTGCGGTTGTTAACAAAATGGCTGCTGCTTCTTTGCGTTTTCGAAGAATCTTGAACCTAGCTAGTTGTTTAAGATTTGAATGACTAGTGAATTTACACTGAAAAAGTTAGATTACTCCCTCTCCATTTCTATGCGTGATCGTTCACGCGATAGAAATCTCGAATTCTTTATCGAATTGTTAAGTAGTAGCATTCATGTGATGTGCTTATGAAAGTGTGCATAAGGCTTCCAAAGAACCAGCCTCTCTAAAAATGAATGTTCAAGAGTATCAGATTCTTACGAAACTGTCTTGCCTGGTCAGCGGACTAGTGAAGCAAATAACTATTTATCTACTGGTAACTTGTCAGCCCTTCGTCGTCACTTTGCTTTAGCCAATGGCTAACACTTGAAGCGTCAGCTTCAATACGGCTGTTAATTTACCTTTATCAACTTTAAATTAATAAATAGCTAATTAAAGTGTTTCTCTAAACATGAGACCTATTGAGTTTAATGAATTACTCAATGGACTGTTTATGTAGTTTGAAAGCCAAATCTATTTACCCCAGAAGTGGACGGAGGTTGTTCTAACTGAGCAGCACCGCCAAATTAGATGCCAGTTTCGGTGCTTTTATCAACTGTACGTCGCGTGTAGGATAAAACGATTCGTGTATTCTTGGTAGTCAAGCGTACGTCACACTGAAGAATCGTCGACGTACATTATGTGTTTTCTTGTATAAGCTTAAAGCGTACATGAAGGTCAACTTTTCGTTGAAAAACTGGGGTTGGTCTTCAATAAGCTGTAAATAGCTCCGTCTGAGGATGAGTTATCTTAATCGCGTGTACTTTTAAAGGTCCCCGTGAGCTCTTTCACTGGACTGCTAAAGAGCCCAAATTTTTATGGAATATCTATTCTAAAACACAACCTTTTTACGGGGTTATAAATGTGCCGCAGGACTACAATACGACAATCAAAAATAGTTATATTTTGGCGTTTCACGCTCAGACTTGACAGTTAGGAACAGATTGCTATTTTAAGCAATCTGACAAGGGTGCCGTAGAGACAGGAGTTATGTAATCGGAACTATAGCTAATTATAATGCATTTAACGCGCTGACTTCTTTAATTTTTCCTTGGTGTGATAAACACGTGATAATTCACGATGTTATGTGAATCATTTTCAACGAATTGGCATCAGAGATTACCACAGATTAAGTAGCAATTTGGGAGTATTTTATCATAACAATGGGAGTACATAGCATTTTACGGTTATGTGCTTAGTTACCTGGCCATAAATGCAAGCGAGGCTGGAGGTGACCTTGCTTTGATTCAGACCTCTCTGCTTTTCTCATTTAGTTAGCGTAGGAACAACTTGATTTACACAACAAAAGCAATAAGGTCTGTGTCAAAACAAGGTCACCTCCGAACTCGCCGCCATTCAAGGACCAGGTCACTAAGCAGACAACTGTCAAATGGTCTTTTAGCTTTGATGTAAAGTCAACCGTTCTATGGACTTAAGTGCTGGGTCGCGTTCATCGAATTTCTGAGTCCCGTTTAACTACTTTACTGTTTTAGTTGACATAGCTAAGACTAGCTATAGCTGTAAGAGTTACTGCCAGTGGATGTGGTTTCATTTTGTTTTCTCGGAAATTCGATAAGCGGAATCACAGTCACGTGGAACATGAACTATAGAAAGAAAATTGTATTGAAATATAAATAAAGCTATCGGTAGCTATAGTTTATGGCGAGAATATCCTCGATGTGAGTCGCAGTAAATGGGACGGACAGTTCTGGGTTCCAGATTGTGGCGGCATAATTGAGAAAAAAAATACGTATATATCTTATATTACTGAAGAAAGAATATTTAACCAAGCAGGGACAACATAAAATTTATGGGTGGCTACCTTAGGGGTTGTATACTGTTCGCGGCCTCGACCATTTATGAGCAGTTTACTTTTAATATGATTTATCATCTTTTCTGTGGGTCCAGATTTTAGCGAATGCGTTTTACTTGTAGTAATGTAAATATTGTTTTACTTTGTAAATTGAATTTTTTGTGCATAAGAATGACCAAGTTATGTGTGCCGTGAAGACTCGATAGCATCACAAAGGTGAAGTAATAGGTAATTAGTAGGTCATGATTTTTAAAGATGTAAAAGAGTGCTTCTTCATCTTAAATATAGAGTACAAAATGATAATACTTTAGAGGTTGTCAATTTACTAATTTGGCGGGGATTTATATTTCAAGAGAAGGACACTTGTGTTAATGGTTAGAGTGATAGACTTGTAACCCGAACGTCTGGGGTTCAGATTTTCCTCCCTATCACAGGTGGGATTTGTATCCGGTAGTACTGTACGGCGTTTGTAGATAGCCAGCTGGTCAGCTCCTCTCCTCCCACACACTTTCTCTCAAGAGCCGTTCTTCCTACTTTCAAAAGTCCGTGGCCACTATTTCGGTGAACACTCTGCCGCCAGTTTTACAGCGCCTTTCAATAACACACGACCTCTGCTCAATCAGTCGTCTATAGGCTGTGACTGGAAGATCCATTTTGTTCGTTTATTTTTCTCAAGGTTCTTTGGTTGTCGTCGTAATTATCATCGACGGCAGCCAAAAACGCAGTCGTCGGTTAGGTTTTGTGCTTCAGAGTTCGCGTTTTATTTAAAAGTGCAGTAAATTATATTCTACTTGTACAGAAACCAAGGGACCACCACTGGGTACTTTCTTCATTTAAGATTGCCCCAGAGAGCATTCGCTTGTTTTGCTTTAACGAAGAAGGGCAAATACTTCGAAATACGGCGAAGAATAAATTAACAAAAAATAGCTTTCGAATTAATTTAATAATCGAGTACAAAAATTGTCACTGAACAACTTTTTGGAGGGGGTTGAGACGGTATTGTGGAGGTTTGTCTGCCCACATGCATTTAAATTTTGCTACGAGTACATTGAAATCCCACCTTACCATCACCCCTTTAATACGGCTACCTCGTTATTACGGCCACACTATTCTGGCCCCAACAAAAGCTCAATCAGTAATTTTCTTTTTTAAATAACCCCTTTATTACGGCCACCCCGTTAATACGGCCACCCCGTTAATACGGCCAGATTTTTGTGACCCGTTAGTGACTGGATTAACGAGGTTCCAAATTCCTTTCAAGCACGCGAGCTATGCGGGGGTGCGCGATTGCGAGCGAGCGAGCAGCGCGAGACCGGTCGATAAGTGGGTGCAAAATGTTTGTCTTTCCCCAGAGCCCCCCACTTGCGTTCGGGCATTTTCAAATCCCCTGCGGAAATACTCTCTTGCGATCTCGACGAACTGAAGACACAATAGAGGCTCTGTGGACAGACTGAAGAGGTGTATCTAGCATGACGTCTCGGCTGCCGGAGATAATAGTTCCTTCTCGAAACCAGATTTTCCGGGAGAAGGGGAGGCGGGGGTTGTACATTACCCAGATCCTGATGGCTTTAGATCACGTGATTGCTTCCGTTCCTGTCATTCTAACTTGCATGGGCGAGCTATAGGGTTTTACGCTTTTGCCAAGTTCGCGCTTCATTCCAAAATTCTGACCACCATGTCAATTATTTTCAATATTTGTTAATCAAAATAAAATGATTTATTGATAGATGGGTTTGTTTTCAGTTTTCCATACATTAGCTTTCGGTAGAATTTACACGTTAATGAAAGCCCTTAAAAAAAGCTGACGTGGCTGAAAAGAAAAAGAAACATCCAACCTGGCAAGAATTGAATCTGTTGACAAACGAAGTAGAGGTTACATGGAATCATGGAATTAATTTGGTAGTGAATGTAAGTGTAACAAAACAAAAATATAACAAGCTCCTCCTTTCCCCCCCGTTGTGTTATTGTGATACTGAAAACAAAGCAACGTGAACACTAATATAAATTTCAAGCCAAAAAAAAAAAAAATAGAAAAAAACTTCTGGAACAAATTTGTGGTGGAAGTGCTTTGCTGCTTATATTATGTTTGAAGTTAATTTGCGGGAAGACGAAAACTTCTCTAGAATGTTGCTGAAAGTGGAAGACTGTATCTAGATTTTGAAAATTCCAGTTAACTAAAAGAGAATCAATACCTGGTGAACGGTGTAACGAAGTATAATGTGAACTACATAAATATAACAAACGCATTCCACCAGCTTTTCAATCTTAATTGTAATACTCAGATAGATCCAGCTGACCAACCACATCGCTTGAGATGCGAAAGACAAAAGATCGTGTAAATATTGCGGAGCTGAAAACAAAAGTCAAGGTTTAACCTCAGTAATATGCAAATAAACATCAGCAGCGTCAATGTAAATTAGCAACTCTATTTAATCCTTGAAGTTCATCAACTTCAGGCTGGCTAATACATCAACTGTGCAGAAGCTTCAAATCGTTCGGAGACCAGAGTGGATAGACAACATTGCAACCACTTTACTGAAAATCTAATCTGATCTTTTCAGAATTCAAGTAAGTGCTGTTCCACTGGATAGTTTATTGAATGATTTATAGGGGTATGGAATGGTAAAAAATGCGACACTCGCCGAGAGCCGGGCCAAGACATCTAAATAGTTATTTTAAATGCATGACCTGTACTGTATATTCAGGGGAAAATATCATGGTTTGAGGTTTTCGAAGCTGATTCTGAGACCTTTTCTATCTTAGAAATTCCAGATTCAGAGATTGAGACGGTTTTCGCCGTCAGACTGTCAAAACTCGAAGAATAACCATTGCTTGCTGCCTAATCCCAGACATGGTCAATTGTAGACATTCCAAATACCGTCGGGAAAAATAACTGTCGCGCAGCGCTCGATCACGCAAAATTTTAGATACTTTTTTGTAGTCAGGTTTGCTATTAGTAGTATTTCTTTAATTATTCGGGTGTTTCCAAGTTGTGAAGAAATTTTCAAGGAAAATGTATACACTAATTTAAGAATAGATTCTCGACTCATCTGTATTTGTCAAATTTCTTTGATCTGAAAGCAAACA